TGGCACTCAGTGCTCTGAGTCTGGTTGGATTCCATGATCTCACCGTTCTTTTCCAAGCTCAGAGATCCTGGGATTCTGTGATGTTCCCAAAATGTGCCTTGACCTGAAACACTCAGAGCAGGGCCCTGGATTGTTTCAAAGGGAAGATTCCCAGGGAATTCCTTTGTGCTTCTTGGAGGGGCTCCCTAAGCTTTGTTAATCAATACCAAACCCAAATGTGCAGCTTGCTCCAGGCCTGAGTGATTTTGGGCCCAGATGTTGAACATTTATCCAGCAGTGGTGTCAGGCAGCTGCTGTGAGGCAGACACAAAACCAGAGCAAGGAAAGATTCGCTGCTGTCAACAACATCTTTTCATGGACCAGACACTTTCCTGTCTGTGTTTGTGCCTCCTGAGCTGCTGGGTTAAATGTGGGAGAGGGAGAATTGAGGATCTGAACAGATCCGTGCCTGCCTTTCCCACAGCAAATCCCTGAGCGATGAGGAGAACCTGAAGCTCTTTGGGAAGTGCAACAATCCAAATGGCCACGGACACAACTACAAAGGTAGGAAGCTGATTTCCATCCTTGCTCGTGGAGTGATGCAGCTCTCGGGGTGGAGTTAACCCCCAGAAGGGCTGGGCCACTCAATCTCAGCAGCCTGGTACAGCTTTCAGCGGCTGGGTTTGTGTTTTTATCAAGAATTAAGAGGGAATTTCAGCAGCAGGGGGTTGAACCATAGCATGGGTTTGTCATTTTTTTCAGCTGAATAGATAATAAATATTTATCTTCAAATGCCACTTCTTGAATCAAATCTGCTTGTTTACACTCTGCAGAATCATTGTGATTGGAATGGAGATTTTTCTAAGCAAAAGCCATGCAAATTAAACAGCCTGGAAACATGATTTGAATGGGGTTTTTTTCACAAGTTCTCCCATTTGTACACCCCGAGCACACAGAATTAGATCTCTCCAGTTCCTGGAGTGGCTCCCTGTGTTGTTGGCACCCTGAAACCTCTGCTAAGGAGCTGCTTTATCAGGGGAGACAGGCTTATCTCCAGCCTGCCTGGGGCATCAGACACTGGGGAGGGATTTTTGTGCCTCTGAGCCACTTTTTTATGGCTCATCCCCTCATTTTATCAAAGCAGCCCCACTCCTGAGTGCACCCTGTGGGTGGGCGGGGAAGGGGCTGTAGCAGATTTGGTTTTGGCTTCACAGGCATCACAGTGACCTGAACTTTTCTTGTTTTCAGTTGTGGTCACCGTGCGTGGAGAGGTGAGTGCAGCCAGCATCTTTTTTCTGTTCCTCAGTGTGGCAGAATCCCCACAGTCCTGGCTCCATGCCTGGATTTCCCAGAGTATTTTGGAAACTCTGTGCACACCACTAGAGAGGAAAATTTTCTGTGGTCCTGTTCACAGCAAGGATTTGCTGTTTAATGCTGTTTTCATGCTTGAAGACTCTTCCAGTGAGTTGTTCCTGCCTGCTGTCAGCTTTTAGGGGAGAGTGGAACCTCTGGAATTGTTTCCAGGCTGTATCAAGCCCTTGGGAACATCACAGGAGTGGAGTTGGAGCCCTGTGACAGTGGGAAGAGATTCTCCTTGTGGCTCACATGAGCACAGATATTCCCCCTTGTGCTTCCCTGCAGATTGACCCAGTCTCGGGGATGGTGATGAACCTGACAGAGCTGAAGGAATACATGCAGGT